CAGATTTATCAATCATCAACAAAAAAAAGCGAAATGGGCAGATACAGTTATCACAGTTTTAAATAACATTGACTTGTCGGAAGAATGTTAAATAAACAGCAAACATCAGAACGACTTCCGTCCATTCACGGAAGCAATAAGCGTTAGTTCATCATACAAAGGCGGAATAACTTGTTTATAGATTAAAATTCATTTGTCTAGAAATAATAAACGGGAAATATTCACGGGGTAGCAAACGGCATGCGGAATACATAATTATATAATAATTCTGATAACTTGTCCTGCATTCTTCTGATACCTGTTTTGGAGTTCTTTTGACATTTTAAAAGAAAACTGTCGACAACAGGGGATTTGAAATTGAAGTTTGATTGTAAAAATTCATTGTGATGAGTAAAGAAAAAAACTATATTATACGACACTTTCCAAAATTAAAACTTTGGAAGTAAAATTACGAAATCGTTATCGTTGTTTATACACATTAATCTTTGCATTCATGTCTCCCTTCTTGTCTTATATTATACTACAAACGAAATATACCTTTGAACACAGCACCTGTTCATGAAATGATAGAATATAGCCTACAGTATGTGCTTTTTTTATGTATTCTCCTACAATTGATGTCATCGATCGTTTTGTGATAAACATTAACTATTGTCTTAAAGTGCCATTATGGTCATTTTCTCGCTGTGAAGTTGAGCTGAATTAGTAATGCATTTCACAAGATTGACTATCATAATGATGAATGACCAGAAATTGATAATGAAAAAAACTTACAAACACTCTAAATTATAAACCTATTACCTCATCCTTTAAAAAAATTGAATTTTACTGATATATTCTGAACGGTATTTATAGATATATCGATAGGTCACAAGGATTATTGATTGATACAAAACTAAGCAAAAGTATGACAAAATGAAAAGTTATTTATACTTCCGCTTGTGCACTCATCATTTACACTTAAACGTACATAATATCATTTTAAGTAATGAAATTCAAAACAAGCGATTTTTACTTTACAAATTCTATGTGTAAAGTTCTAAGATTTTCAGTAAAATCAATATTGATACCAATAAAAAAAATTTCAAATTGTAATGACATATTTTCACAGTAGTTCTAAGGCGCAATATTGTGATTTCTTTGAAATTTATTTATTTCTCTATGCAAAACAATTTTCTTCGTCATTATAACTACATAATCCGCATACATTCCTGAAAAGTGTTACACATTGTATGACAATTTTAGAAAAGTCAACTATGCTCATAACATAATAATTATAGCAAATTTGTTATTTTAGCTTACAACGCAAAATTAATGTGTATAGTCCGGGTTAGAAATGAACCATTGGTTTTCAATTTACATTATCAGGTATATTTGTAACACAATGTGTTCGTTTAGCTTAGGAAGTCTGCGGAATATTTAATACATAAACTTTAAATTCGTTCATTTAATAAATATTTGCATTTCATATTTCACAAAGTTACGTGAAAGATGATGTTTGATTATACCTACAACGGCTATGCATGCATGTACTTTGAGATTTCTGGTTGTCTCTGGATTGGGTTAATTCTTGATTTTGAACAATAGCTTAATGGCATGAGAAAAATGAAGTAAGACAAAAATTTAACAAAATGAAATATATTGGTGGTCAAACAATTCATAAATCATATAATACAAAGCTTATGATGGAATCTGTTTACATTTTCGTTATTATAATTACTATACACTACGACGAATACCCTATTTATGATGAATGCGAATTCACGTAGTAAAAGAAAACTTAATTATCATGATGTCATGCTATAAAAGGTAAAAGAAGTATTGTTGCTAATGAACATTTCCCTTGTAAACATACATTTCGCTATGTTTATGTCCCTAGACGTTAGAAACAGTTTTATGACATACGGTTGCACAGTATGTAGACACAATAAAGTTATACAGGATAAAGATGATGAACTCGCCGTTAACTATAGTCGAATATAAAGAATTTTATTTCTATATTTTGACTTTTTACTATTGAAAGCAAGAAAAGTTTCATTTCAGTGTAAAAATGATAACATATTATCACTGGGTACAACTTTTCGATGAGCATGTGTTCTATTGTTCATACATTTGTTGTTCTAAATCTTCAACTTGTAAATTTTTGTTACTTTTACAGTAAAATGAAGAAGTACAAATGTATTGCTACATTGTTGCTGCAGCTGAAAATTTTAAATATTTATTTCCTTTTTATTGTATTCTTCAACGTCTATTCTTGTGAACTTGTTGTCTACCTTAATTATCTTGCCAAGGACTAAATTGTTCTTTCTAGATAAGTTTGCTGGGTAATATTTCAGATGTAAGAATTGAATGATCTTCAAGAGCAAACGCTGCAAAAATTTAATTTTTCACATTAAAGTTTTGTTTATAAACATCTGCTTGCCTCTCAAATTGATTAACATTTAAACAACATTTTTAAAACAATGTTTAAGACATATTTTTATTCATTAAATGTTGAATTCTGCTTAAGCCGGTGCTAAGGGGTGTGGACGGTAATTGCATGTTCCAGTACCGTCCATGAACAGGCTCAACAAACCGGGTCTGCGACATTTTCAATTTTGTCGTTTTGGACGTTTTTTAGGGATTCAGTTTTTCTCTGTGATGTTTTCCTTCTATTCAGTTCGAAAAAAATCCTATTAAAAGAGTGACACTTCATGCTTGAGCCATAAACAATATCTTTTTTTTCTGATGACGTTACAATTATTATGTAATTTTGTATTGGTTTCTTCTTTGCAAAGAAATGAGTCACTTAATTACCGTGCAGTTTAGTTTTGAAAGGTCCTTAGTTAACTTTATTATTCTAAAACGCTTCCGCTATATTATTTTTACAAATGTTATTTTTTATATCAGCCTTTATACTACGGTTATAAGAAAATATGTTATGTTGATAGATTGGGTATGCTTGTATTTTTACAGTTAACATCTAATACATGGTGTTGTTTATCTGACTTTTCTCGAGATCATTTCAGATTCGAATATATTAAGTTTAAAGGATTAAATACCTACCGCCCCACTCCTGTAACCAAGGTATGTTGGACTTTGCATATTTTCCATGATCAGACTTAATAAAACCGAGTCTGGGTTCACTTATTCGTGTTTTTGTCGTCGGTGTTGTTGTTGTCATTGGTCTCGCGGGCTCTCCCCTTTTCAGAATTCTTATTATTCAAAACAAGCAGGAGTTAAGTGACGCGTGGTAGCCCGTTGATTCCAAATGTTTAAGTGCTGAGGATTGCATACAACTAATTGTGGCGTATGAGATGTTTAACTAAACGTTATCTCTTATGAACTGATTCAATAAAACCGAGTCTCCTATTTTCAACTATTTGTTTCATTTTTTTTTATTTTTCATTGCCCCCAGTGGTGTTCCCCTTTTCAGAAATTATATACTCACAAAAAATAAAAAATGCTCAATATTGTATAGCATCAGCGAAACGTTGTCACATCAGTGTTGTAGTTTTATACCGGTTAATTGGAATCATTAACAAATTCCAATAAGTTTATGTTGTTAATGATTGAATGCCGCTTAAGACGGTGTCACGAGGCGCGAGATATGTTCAATTGAATTAAAATCATATTACAGTTTTCGCCGCTTCGTTACTTTACTACGCTAACAAGCGAAAGGAAGTATAGCAAAAGTAAGGAATTTCAAAGCAGAAAATTTGTAACCACTTTGTAAATTAATGCCCTAGAAGTAAGTATTGTGGGGCATAGTGAAGTCTTATGTAGCATTGTCAGGCGAACTGCTTATCTAACTTGAAAAGCAAGTTATTGCAATACATCAACCGTTTTGTACCATCAAATCTGCATATAAAAGTATTAAAAATCAATAACTCATTCGTAAAGTAGTGGCATAATAAATTGTTTCACATGATGGGAGGAACTGTTACACGAAGGATGGAGGTCTTATTATAACTTGTCAGGAGTTCTTGTGATAACTGTCACGGAGATTGTCGGAAAACATTTATATACTACAACAACATTCGTCAAAAAAAATATTTTCATCTTTAAAAAGTGAGTTTTAGTTGCTAAATTAAACTGTAATTATTAAGCTTTCCTTCCATCTTATATAATGTGTCAAAAACTAATTCATATGCCATTGTTATCGCCTGTTGCTTGAAATCTGGTAGCTTTGAGTAAAATTTTCAAACTATTTGCTTTGCAAGTATTGACCTGTTGATTTCTGGTCTTCATCCTTGCCATACATAATTACCTAATTATAATGCAAAATTGCAAAGCACCGGCTAACAAATTTATACCCGATTTTTCAAATGTCCTGGAGTTCTTGTGACAACTCAGAAGATGTCCAAGAGTTCTTATAATAACTTTAGTTACTGCCAGTGTGTTTCCTGTTTTTGTTTGGGGTCCTCCTGGGCTCCTTGCCACTGGCTCTTGTTACTGGGTCGGGTGGGGGCTGCGTTCATTGAACGCCGCCTTTCCTTGATGATCTTGTTCATCATATTTTGCGCTAAATCCAAGACAATCACGACACTCTTTAGCATTTTTTATTATTCAATAAGGCTGTAAATCATTATGAAATGTAGTACACTCATCTTTTGCGCAAAAATGTGGATATAATGTTGTCTTGAGTGTCTGCAAAGGGTAAACTGGTGATAGGCTATCATCTACAGTACACAATTGAATCAGAGGTCACCGATATTCAGCAGTGTCATGGCTTAAACTGCAAAAAGGAAAATGTTGACCCAAGGGGCATGACTAATATAAGTTTTGTAGATGTTTTCTATGCGATGTTACACCAAAAGTTTCACAAACAAGACTTAAATGTATTTTCCTATACAATCTTTTGTAAACCGAGTCATTTTGACCCCAGGGACATAGTTCATAAAACTATTGTAGACAACTAGAAGGTGATGTCACGCGCAAAATATTTAAAATAGAGTGAAATAAGAATCCCTAAAGAAAGCCAACGCGGCAAAATTGAACATATAAAAAGAAACACCATGTAGCAGTTCTACTTAATATTATTATACTGTATATATAAAACACCTGATATGTTACACATATTTTATATCATGATCATGTCCATTCCACTTCACAAACTACTCCTCTCCAAACGTAAGATACAAGGTGATTAACAACAAGGTGACCTGTAAAATACATTACAAATCCTTACTTTATAACTTGCAATACAATACAATCTCTGAAAGAAATAATTCATCTTCTCAAATAAATAATACATAAACATTAAAGGATGCCTTTCATATAAAGTAAGTGGAATCTAGTGGCTTACACTCTTATTAACTAAACCTTAACATAGAAGGTTGAATATTACAATTTACAAATAAAGTTATCATCTGTTAAAAACAATATAGTCACATCATACATGTACAATAACAATCATTTAACTCACCAGTGTATGGCACTGTCCACAATTATAAATAACACCTGCATAAACTCACTCAACCGCCTCCTCACACTGTGACTATCAGTAAAACTGTAAATTTAGAGGTTATATTAAAACATGTGATAAGATATTGAAGATATCAAGTGATATTTAGATTTGTTAAAGAAAGTAGTCCCGTACCGCCATTTTGATAGTTTCATGTACATAAATTCTATGTATTAAATAAGTTACCAAAAGCTCACGATTTAATTAACACTCATTACTGAAAATGGATGTAAACAACAGTAGGTCAAATTATACCTCTATACAATTAATCCATTTGACAATACACTAAACCATTTCAACAGAAACAAAAATAAAACATCCAAAAGATGTCAAACACATCTAGACCCCTCCAAAAACTTGAACTAAACTCAGCTTAGGCGGAAACGATGCCACGACCAATGAAAATCAAGAATTAAAAATAGAACCATTCAGAACGAGGCTAAAAACTAATATATTTACCAAACACAGAATAACCCTGATAAAACTCGGACCTGTCACATACTCCCCCTCTTTGTAAAATGACGTCCCGTCATAAGTCTGTCAATGTACAATTGCATATTTCAACACACAATACCTATATCTCTTGCAGTATTAATATACTAAACGATTTGTACCAATTAGTGCTTTCGTACTAACCAGAACAAATACCAGTACAAATTAAAGTACATCTATCAAAACATGTACAGCCAACAAAAATTATTTTAGTATTTTACACTAGCTAAATACCTTGCGATAAGGTATTTACCACCATTTTCTCCCCCAGCAAAAAAATTCGCGTCTCGCGGGTAAATTTTAAGTCTACAATTTATCGCAAATATGTGACACGCCAATGAATTATGTTAAAATCCGATAAAACGCAGTATATTAAAATCTTTCAACACATTTCACTTTGAATCCGTACTCATAATACTCTGTATGATCCGATGTGCTGTTTCACTATCCATATTGTTTAAAACTCCTGACCGCATTAAAGTATCCAATGAATGTAGCTTATTGTCTATAGGTCTTGTTAAGGAATAGACATATTCCCCATAACGGTCTGGTGGTTTCTTCTTTCTTTCGCTCTTTCTAGGTTTCGGGATTGGGGCTTTCTTCTCTTCTGTATTATCATGTTCCTCAATAATCTGTTTTGTATTTTCCTGTTTCTCTGTAATATGCACTATATCTCCTTCAGCACCTTCTGTTATCTGTTCCTCTATATCTCCATTCTGTACTTCTAAATTTCCTTCAGTAATCTCATCTTCTATAATTCCTTCAGCAACTTCTTCACTACGAATAGATTCTGTTTCTTCTTCGGATTCTGCTCTCTCGTCTAACACTATATTCATTCCTGTCGATTCATCTCTGTCACTCTCAATCTGTAATTCACTACTATCTGGACCTATATCACTATCTTCTTCAGTTATCTCAGATTCTATATCTGGTATAGGATATTCTACAGGTATCTCTTCACTTATCTCATCCTCATGTATCACTTCTTCATTTGTCACTTCCTTTGTCATTTCGTCTGTATCATTTATCACTTCGTGTGTTGTTATTTCGACTGAATCATTTGTCACTTCCTCTTTTATTTCTTCTGGACATGGGCGTCCCCATGCTGGTATGTTATTTCAACAATACCAAAATCCTCGCTCTCTGACTCGCTATCTGTGACGTCACATTCTATTTTATCTTCCTTAACTTCCTCCTCTTCCTTTGATGCATCTTGTATTATTTTCTTCTCTTTCTCAGGTCCTATGTTGTTTTCACTATCTGGAATATCATCTTGGTAATCTACCAGAAGTAAATGATTCCTATGTAGTGTTCTTTCCTTATCTGATGAATCTGATCTTACTTTAAAAACAGGAATGTCAGGTCGAGATTGTTCAACGACAGTATAAATATCATCTTCAAACTTATCTTGAATCTTGTGTTTTCCTTCAAACGCTAACTTCTTGACTAAAACTTTGTCTCCAATAGAAATTTTGACAGCTTTTGCTCTTTTATCATAATATCCTTTTTGTTTGACTTTGGCCTTTTCCATGTGTTTCTTCACTATCTGTTGAGTCTTTTCTATCCTTTCTTTGAGTTCTTCTATGTAATCGTTTGTATTATTGTTCTGAATGTCATCATCCTTGGCCTTTTCAAATGTTAAGTCGATTGGTAATTTAGGTTTCCTTCCAAACATAAGTTCATACGGAGAGATTTTTGTTGTTTCGTGCGGAATGCAATTGTAAGAATAAACCAATGAATTAATGTATTTCTTCCAGTCTTTCTTTTGATCATTTTCCAGTGTACCAAGCATGTCAAGTAGGGTTCTATTAAATCTTTCAGGACCTGAATTACCCTGCGGGTGATATGGTGTAGTGTGACTCTTTTTGATGTTCATTATTTCACATAATTCTTTGATGATTTGACTTTCGAAATTTGCTCCTTGGTCAGAATGAAGTCTAGTTGGTATGCCGTAATGGATTATAAAGTTATTATAGAAAGCTTCTGCTGTTGTTCGTGCTGTTTGATTTTTTGTTGGTACGGCAAGAGCATACTTGGTGTAGTGGTCTGTTATGACTAATATGTTGCCTATGTTTCCTTTAGATGGTTCTAAGGTAAGAAAGTCAAAGCACACAAGTTCAAGTGGGTAAGTACTGTTGACATTTACTAATGGTGCTCTTTGGTTAACTGAAGATTTTCTTCGAATACATCGGTCACATTTACTTATCCATCTATCCACATCTGATGACATTCCAGGCCAATAATATCTGTCTCTCATCAATCTCATTGTTCTTTCCTTTCCTGGATGGCCAACTTCATTATGCAAACCTTTAAGCACTTCTGTCTTGTAACAATTTGGTAAAACAAGTTGTTCTATTTCTTTGTCCTCTTCTTTAATGTTTCTGAATAAAATTCCTCTCTTCATTGTAAAGTATTTAAATTGACGTCTCATTATCATATCTTCTTTCGAGAAACAATTGTATGGGAGAATTTTGTCAATAACTGCTCTTCGCCATTTTTCTATTGTTGGATCTGACCTTTGTGCTTTTCTAATTTCCCTAAGTTCTTTTTGCGCTAATACTTGTCCATTGTCTTCAATTGCTTCAACTATATTTATGCTTGAGATTGGTAAAGTTTCAATGTAGGATGATGTTAAACAGGAACAAATGGCTTTTATTGTGTTATTGTCGATTCTAAGTTTTTCTTCGTCTTCCTTAAGTTTTTCATGTGGGTATCTACTCATCGCATCAGCATCTGCATTTTTCAATCCTGCTCTGTATGTAATATCGAAATTGTATTCTCCAAGTGCTGAAGCCCAACGTTGTCCTGTTGCATCTAATTTTGCAGAAGTTAAAACATATGTAAGTGGGTTGTTGTCGGTCAAAACTGAAAAATGGTTAATAGCCAGATAATCCGAAAACTTTTCTGTCACCGCCCACTTTAACGCAAGGAATTCCAACTTAAAAGCACTGTAATTTTGTTCTGATTTGGTGACAGCTCTGCTTGCGTAAGCTATAACACGTTTCTTACCATCCTGCTGCTGGTATAACACCGCACCAAGTCCTTTGGTACTCGCATCCGTGTGTAGTTCAAATGGCATGTTAAAATTTGGATATGCCAATATAGGTGGTGACGATAATATCTGCTTTAATTTCTCAAATACTTGTTGTTCTTCATCGGTCCATCTCCATTCCATTTTTGCTTTCTTCTGACCCTTTTTAACAGATGTAGGTGGCAGTAATTGAGATAATGGTCTTGTTACAGTACTGAAATTCTTCACAAATCTTCGATAATAACCTGCGAAAGCTAAAAACGATCTCAACTCATCAGCATTAGATGGTGTCGGCCATTTCTGAATCTTTTCAATTTTGCTCGGATCAGTCTGAATTCCTTCACCGCTAACCACATGTCCTAAAAAGTTAATCTGTGTCTTGAAGAATTGACATTTTTCTGGTGCTAATTTAAGATTTGCTGATTTTAATTTCTCGAATATGATGTCTATGCGTTCCAAATGTTGATCAAAAGTTTCACTAAATATAATCAAGTCATCCAAATATATGAGGCAAATTTTCATGTTGAGATCTCCTAAAATTTCTTCCATCAAACGCTGATATGTCGCCGGAGAATTAGTTAGACCAAACGGAAGCTTGTTGAATTCGAAAAATCCAATTGACCCAACAGTAAACGCAGTTCTTTCCTTATGCCTCTCCTCTACTTCCACCTGATGATAACCACTCTTCATGTCTATTGTTGAAAAGAATTTAGCACCATGTAAACTATCAAATATTTCTTCCATTCTTGGTAATGCATAAGAGTCTTTCACAGTTCTATCATTTAGTTGCCTGTAGTCTACACATAATCTTAATTTTCCTGATTTCTTTCTGACAAGTACTACATTTGATGTATATGGAGATTTTGAAGGTCTTATGATGCCTGATGCCAAAAGTTGTTCTATGTGTTTTCTAACTTCATCGATCATTGAAGGTGGAATACGACGGTGTCTCTGCTTAAATGGTGTACTATCGATGAGATCTATCCTATGTTTTATTTTATTACAAATGCCAATGTCAGTGTCGTCAACCGAAAAGATGTCTTTGTATTTCTTCAGTAAATCTTGTAATTGTTGTTTTTGTTCATCATCCAATATATTTTCCATATCAATTTCCAATTCTTCAACTATTTTCTCTCTTTGGTGATCTTTATCAATCTTCTGAAACACTTCTTCTGCAATATTAACTGGTTGTAGTTCACAAATAATAGATCTTGGTGGAATATTAACTGTAGTTGTAGTTAAGTTGGATAAACAAACTTTCAACTCTGAATTATTTCTGTACTGATAATGAATAACTCCAGGTGTAACATCAATAAATGAAGGAATGGTACTTTCTTCTGATTCTTGTATTATTGCAGCTGTAGCAGGATAATTTAACTCTTTGTCTGTATAACATGTCAATTGCACCGACTCATTTGGCTTCAAAATAATTCTGTTGCTTGATGCAGACTTGAGAACAGCAAGTCTATTCTTCTGTCTTTTAAGTTCTCTTTCCCTAACAGTAATTGTTCGGAAGCTTAAATACCATCCTGTATGTAGGTTTGCCTTCTGTAAAAAATTTTCACCAAAATTTTGCTTGCATTCAAGAAGAAGTACTTGTAAAATGTTTGTTCCAATTATGACTGGTGTCCTAGCCGAGTATCTGGTATCTGGAGTTACTAAAAAGAGGCATTGTTGAGATTTGTTCTTCGGTAATCCAGACTCAACTTCAAGTTCGACTTCAATATATCCCACATAAGGTAAATTTTGTCCATCGGCACATTCAATATTTAAAATTTCATCTACAGGTCTAATTTCAACTTCTGAAAGATGTTCTTTGTAAAATGATTCTGATAAAAGGCTGACACAACTACCTGTATCTAACAATGATGTTACTGGTATTCTATTCAATAAAATGTTCACTTCATTTGTTTCTCCAACTAGTATAGGATCTGTCTTATGCGTGCTCAAGTTCGATCCTGTAACTGAAGCACTTATAATTTTGGGCAGTTGTTCTTCTTGTGTCCTTTTTCCTTACAGTTAAGGCAGGTTATTTGACTAAGTATAAGAGGGCAATCTTTCTGTAAATGTCCTTTGCCATTGCATGTGTAACATATAGTCTGGCTTTGAAGTAGGGTACAATTTCGCTGAAGATGTCCCTTTTCTCCACAAAAGTAACATGTAGGGGTAAATGTCATCCCAGATGTTGGACGTTGTGGTCTATATTCCCCTCTACCTCTTCCTCTAAATAATCCTGGTGATGTTCCTCTGCCTCTATTAAATCTTCTTCCTCCCATCCAGTACCTTGAAGGGTTGGTATCGTACCTCGGCTGACTTCTTTCCTTTTCCAGTACATCCATTCTTTCATGTAATTTCTTTATCAATTCTTTGACTTCTCCCATCTCATTAACTTCTTTCTTTTCAACATTAACTGCCGCTTTAGTTGTCATTTTCTCTTTGGGGTTTACACTTTCTCGCATCTCTGCTTCAACTTTCCTTAATTCTTTCTTAAATTCTTCATATTCGCCAATCTTTTCCTTCTGATATACTGTCATTTGTTTTAATTCTCTATGTAGTCCAGAATGTATCACTTCTTTAAGTATGTCTGTATCTGTACGTTTTAAAGCTTTTAGTTTCACTGCCTGATCAAATAGTTCTTCTAAGCGTGAGGCATACTGCTCCACTTTTTCATCAGCACGTTGTTGACAAGAGTAAAATTTTCTCATTACACTTTCTCTGGATTCTACAGTTCCGTAGTCGCTGTCCAGTTTGAATAACATTTCGCCAACGGAAATCCCTGGTCCCAATCTCCTTACTTTATCGCTCGCACTTCCTTTCAGAGCTCTTCTTACACCTAGCATTATCTGTTCATCAGTAAAAACTTTGTCCGTTAGCAGTGATTCAACTTCATATTTGAAGGTAACCCAAGTCACTTCACCTTTTCCTTCCTCTCCATAAAATGTCGACAATTTGGGGTAATGATATGTGCCTGTCTTTGGT